TTGTGTACTTTAGCTGCTGCCATTCACGGTTTGTTTTGATGATAAGAGGGGAGGGAAGCGAAAAGGGGAGGAATGGGTCCCACATGTTTTGAATATTTAAGGTGACAGGGGGGCTTCATGTCAGAAGAGGGACTACACTCTCACTTTAGGGTCACACTCCAAGAAAGTTACACACCCCCCCACACACACACACACACACACACACACACACACACACACACACACACACACACACACACACACAGCAGGTAGCTGTCAGTTTACTTAGCCGTACTTGTAAATCAGTCTCTCATTAGCAACAGCAACATCAGAAGCTATAGCAATGTTGGTTCGATTTTGAATGACAGCAACCTTTATAGGGAAATAAACTCCTCACAAATGTGTTTGGGGTGCAAGTCAAGGTTTCAAAGTGTGATTGTACGCTTTCTTTGCAAATAAAGGGCCCTAATGAAGCTTTAAATGAAACTACAGCCCCCTTTTCAAAGTGCCGTCTATATAGATATGCTACAGATTGACATCCCTGTCAAAGGCTTGAGGACAGTGTGGTACAGGAGGAGGCATAGCATAGCAATGTCATCATCTATTATTTGCTGGCTGGGGCCTGAGCCAGCCGTGCTCTGTGAACTTTTCGCGTGGAAGATGATCCCTCATTCTGCTGAACTATTTCAAAGTCCCGGAAATCCATGCGAGCGCCAGCAGAGGGCTGCTGCTGCTGCTGCTGCTGGAGATAGTGAGAGGGGCCAGAGAGCCACCACAGAGCTCTCTACACACTTGTAAAAAACTCGGAAGTAATAGTTTTTAAATTGCAAAGCATGTTTCGCACTTATTTACACACAAGATTAAATGTAGCAGTTGCCTGTAATGTGGATAAATATGTTGAGTCTATATTCTAAGATCAATACAGTTTAAAAAGGGTGTTGCAGCCTTACCTCTCCATCACCTCCACCGCCCTCATGGACACACTGGACCTTTGCGACTTTGCTGACAGTCCAACGAGAGCTTTGGCTTTGAAATCACAACTCCACTCCTCCTCTTCATTGAGCGTGGGCAGGTATCCACAAACAACTTTCAGGTCACCCAGCCCGTTCGAGCTGACGTGATTCGGGTTTTCTCCCCCAGTCCTCACGTACTCGAGGTAAATGTCAGAGGTTAGAAACATCTGGTACGCATTCTCCTCCATGTTGGTTTGGATCTCCGTCTGCGCCTGGTCGAACATCGCAGAGTCTATGTGTAGCTTCTTGATATTATCCCGTATGAAGGTCTTAGTCGCGGGCTTGAGCTGTTTGGCGACAATGCTGTTGTTTTCGATGTAGCGCTTGTAAATAGCTTTGGCGACTCTCTGCGTTTTGGTATCCTTGAGGTCCATTTGCCTGAATCCATTGCAGGCGAACCAAAAGTCTAAAGTATCGACACATTTCTCTCGCTCCAGGAATGTCCTAAAAAGAAGCGCACCGTCCTGGTCCCCGAGGAGTGAGTGCAAAGACTTTGTCCACCGAGAAAGCGGTGAATCCGGGGAGGCACTTCCCTCTGGCTCCCCTAGACCGTCCTCGTTCCTCCGTGCGGAAGATCCCGGAGAGCCGAGAAAAAACGATTTGGGGGGTTCCACGGGTCTCATCATCGCGAGTTTGCCGGGGTAGCAGGGCGCCTCGCCCTCCTCCCCCGGCACCGGGGGTCGAGGAGCATCTTCTCGGAAACTGCTGGCGATATGGGCCATAAGCGCCCGGCTCATGGCTGTGGAGGCAGCAGGAGAGAGTGTGCTGTTCGCCTCCTCTGAGCTTCTACTGTAATCTCCTCACTCTCTTATGTCAGCGGGGGAGCTTCTCTCTGGCTGCCCGTCTTCTCTCTGAAACACAAAGTATTGATCTAATCAAAACCAGATCCGCCCCAACTTCAAAGGGGAGAGACGCAGTAAGAGTCTGTTCAGACCCTCTTCTGGGGACTTCTACAGAAAAAGACAGCCTAGTTCACAGAGAAAATGTGAGAAAACGCTGCAGCAGCATTACATAAACAGCAATTATTCATAAATCAACCTGGAATGTGATAACTACTGAGGCGCTTTTGGTTAAATTAACACGAATGTAATAGTGCACATGCGAGCAGAAAACAACCTGAGCAACTGCATCTACATCATCTTCTATTCTGGTAACAACAAGACAAGTAGCCTAGTAATCACACGAATGTCAAACGGGGCTATGAACTTAACTCCATTAATAAGTCATTAATCCCCCAAGCGGACACGGCTTTATGAACGCTTCCGGATCCACCTCGCCTGGTGTCAGAGTCAGAGCCTGGCTGCAGAAAGCAAGCACATGTCTTTCCCACCATCCCTGACACTTTCTCATTTCTGCGTCTCAACATCTCATCACAGGCGACTAAATCACATCAAAATTGAGCCTCCCTGTACCTGTAGGACATTGATGTGGGACAAACTCGCAGAGATCGAAAAACGTGACCAACATAGTTAATGGAGTTAACTGGCTGCAGCTGGTGTATAACTCCTGGAGCTGTAACACGCTCAAATATATTTAAAACACCCTGCTATCTCTTGTTTTAACTATATTATGAGCTGCTTTGTAACATGAGCTCTTCTACACCGTAAAGCATCAACGTTACAATGTATAAGGGGCTCATGTGTAACATTTAATTTGTCACTGACAGACGGTTACATTGCAAATGTTAAACTTGTGAGAGGCAGCAAGAGAAACAGCTCCGGACACAGAACAACTGTAAATCTTCCTATACCGAACCGTCTAGGCTACTTCTTGACAAAATAAGCAACTCTTCAAATGTGTTTTTATATTATTACAACTAAAACTCACATTCATATTGTCACGTAGTCTTCTAAAGTTTCCTAAATGTTACATATAAGGCGAAAAAACTACTCCTCTTGAATGTCCAATCCCAAGTACACCAAAGTCTCAGATCTTGTGGGGGAGGAATTCCACAAATTGAAACGAGTACTTGTTTGTAAGATTATAAATCTTAATATGAAATCAAACAATATCGAAAGGCAAATGAAGTAAATGATACAGACAACATTCGAAGCGTTTTGGGGGCTCCAAGTGTAAGAAAAGCGGTTAATTTCCCCCTGAACATTACTTCAAAGGCGAGTCAACAACACATCAAAGGAAACTCCAATGGGGGCCAGTTTGAGGAGGCACACACTCTTGTAACTTACCATCGATCCACGAGTTCTCTCCTCAAATTAAACTCCAGTTGTTGTTTTTTATCCACAAAAAACGCGTATAATCCACAGTACTCGTCTCCGCGACGCGCACACATACAGTCCGTTCAGGTTTGAGTCGGTTTACGGAGAGAAAAATGCACTCCAGAGGAAAAAAATACCGCTTTTCTCCCTCCTCCTTTTCTCCTCCCTATGGTTTCAGGCTGCCATGCCGCACGGTAGATCTCTCCTGTAGGCGACTCCAACACCAACTGAGCCGACAGGCTGGAGCAGCGCACTTCAAAGTGAGGAACCGACTGCCAGGTCCTTACAGCTGCATACAAAACAATTGCAGCTTAATGCCTCAGAAAAAAATGAAAACAAGTGTTGGAGCTGCCCAGATACGTTGCAATCACTCCGGATGAGAAATATTTTAAAGGCTACTCTGTTTATGTTCTAAACAGCTTGATTTTTGCTACGTTTTAACAATCTTTTCCCAGATCCTGAAGTTGCAGCTACATGGTAAGGACCTTATCAAAGACAAGCAATCTTGAGCCAACTCCCCGAGGCTTTGGAGCGTCAGAAGTAACTGATCTGCCGCCCCAATAGCATTATCGCTACAATCCTTCTGTTGCTACATACACTTTAAAGACGCAGGGATCCTTTCTTTTCAAGATCCGCATAGTTTTTTAGATTAACCCATCGGAGACCTGGGGAATGAGGATGCACAAAGCATGCACTGGCCTGCATTTAATGGCACGTTCATATCCTCATATACATCGCTGGTCACATTATAGAATACAAAAGCCTATGAGAATAATGAAACTATGATTTTTAATCCCCTTAAGTCTTTATTTGGAAAGCAAAGAGACAAAGATGTGTGCCTCATTAAGATTCAAAGACTTGCTGAAGACAACTTCAGAAGGACCAAAGCGTACATTAGGCTGATTTCCAGGAATTTTTAATAAAAGTCGCTTTAACTATCCACAGAAGTCATTACCATACAGCATGTTGCAATAGAAAATCAAATCATTGTGCTGTTCATCACTCGACAGCTCCTACCAGTGGCAACAAGGGCACATGGTACATAAATCCACACCAGATTAAAACATCTGTTCAGCAATGGTAAATTCCCTGAAGGATGTTAACATATCATTTAATCAACAGAAGATCTTTGCTGCTCTGATTGTACAGCTCTCTGCTTTATGCACAGCCCTTAACTGCAGCAGATCACATTAAAAGGAGTGAAAAGCCCATAGACAGGTCAGACATTCAATATACATCCATTGACTGGTCAGACTGAGAGGAGTTGTTTGGATGCAGACAGTAGTGGACATTTTGGATTCCATTTCCTTTGTCCATACTGAACTAGCTACAAGCAGTAGTGATGTAGTGGTTAAAAGAGTCAGTATTGTTTTAAAAAGGCTTTAGTGTTCGAAATTAGCAACCACAGGAGACCCTTTGTACAAGAGTACACAGTAGGTGTCTGTGTGTCCTTTTTGTCTCAGTGGACAGACATTCAAAAAGTGCAGCGCAAACACTTTGATCAGCCTGTTTGCTAAAGGTGCTGTGAAACCTTCTCCCTTGATGCCCCGCTTCGCATTAAGGTTTATAAAAGAGGACATTGCTCTTGAAGAGGCCATGATGACTAAAGGATTAGTCACCATTCAAAGGCCACTTTATCATGTTCAAATTCTGCACGTTCACATCCTGCACAGAAACAATGCATCTAAATCAAACATAATATCCAGCAAAAGATGAACAGAAGGGATTGCAAACCATGGCACGCGTACCCCAGTAGAACCAGTATTTAGAAAAAAAGGAATTTGATGTTCTAAAAATGAACTTATCGAGTTCGTTTTAACCACTGAGTGCACAACAATGAACTGGCAAGCAAGCAGAGCTATTCCAACAGCAAAAGTATTAGGCAAATAGTTAAAAATATTAAAAAGTAATGTATTGAAACACATAAAAAAAATCATGGACAAACGGTTGAAATAGATAAATAAATGTTGGTGTAGAGTAGACAGACAAGTATCGAGTTAATCTGAGGGTTCGCTGAGCCCTTATGACCAAAAAGTTAGGGGACTAACTGACATACAGTATATTTAACATCTGAAACCATGACTCAGAGATTAAAAACAAGTCCACACAAACACAATTTCTTATCTCATTAAAGCTCACACAGTCTGGGTCTCTCTGTGTACAGGTCATCTGGCTAATATACAGACCCAACAATGTCAGCCTTTGTTAACTTTAGAGGGCTGGGGCTGACCTCTGACAGTAAACACACCAGGGTGGAAACCATCACCATGGCGATGGTGTGGACCCCCTGCCAGTACCGGGGGCCAGTTGGGCCCTCATGTCCTGCCTTGTCAACCCCCTCCGTGGTTCATGGGAGGTCCCCATAGGTTGGGTCTTCCCTGCTGCCCTACAGGAGCTGACCCCAGGTCTGTGACTGGCCTGAGACCTGGGGTGTCCTTGGCTCCTGGCCCTATAAAAAGACCCTTGAAAGAGAGGGCTTCAGTGGGAGAGGTTATGGGGTGCAACTGTCTCTCTGTTTAGGAAGATATTATTACAGGGACAGGTCAAATTCAGCTTGACTACAAAGAGCCCCATAAAAAGAGACGGAAGAGCACGCATAAATCTTTGTGGGGTCCAATCATGTCTTTAATCTTGATCTTTTATTGGATGTGCACAAAATAAACAAAGCAGCTTTATCTTCTATGTTATCGCAAGTCAGATTTGATGGAAAACACCTCTTATATAACAACTTAAGAGGACTCGAAAGGTTTTTATGACTGTGTGTTATATGGTCTCCTGAGCAGCCTTGGCCTGTCGTAACTGCTACTGGCCACCTCAGTTGTACTCATAAACACTCAGAGTGTGTGTGTGTGTGTGTACCGGTGCAGTCCTCTCTGTGCTGCAGCTCTGTGATCAGTAACTGCTCTCAATTACAGTATTGTGTGCTGTTCCTTTCGGCTTGGGGTTAAACTCTTTGCAGACCCTTTGAAGTACTCATCCCTTTATCTCAAGCCAGAGCCAAGAATTTGGGGGAGGACAATGGAAAATGAAACCAAGAGGGAAGCTTATGGCAATTATCAACCAGGGCCATGAAGAGGAAGTCAGCTCACACAGACTGAGAGAGAGGGAGGGAGAGAGAGAGCAGATAAAGAGAGCAGGAGACAGCCAATGTAGGACAGGGGGTTACTGTTTCAAGTTTGTTTGGTGTGTACACACCCCAGGCAACAACCGACTGCCGAGAGAGGAAATGGAGGCTACCTCTTCAAAGTAGGCGACAACAGAGGGACAATGGGCTCTGAAGGGAGCAAGGAGCTGATGAGAGGAGCTGTGGCAGTGGTGGTGGGGGTCAAAACATAATCGAGGAGAAAAGAGTGGCAGAAGAGGACGGGAGGAGAAGGATGGAGGAGAACAGAGGGAGAAGTGCTGTTGTCAGCAGAATCAAATGGCACGAAGCGAGCTGTTGAAGATACAATTAAAGTGTGGAGTTAAGACAGGCTTTGAAGTTGGACATGGTGCATAATACCCTTAAAAGTTAAGGAAGGGCAACAATTCACCAGCTTGTTATGGGGCTGTTTTGAAAGAGGGAAAAAAGAGTGCGGGTGGTAAAGGGAGGGGGGTTTGTTTTTGAAAGGGTTCAGTTTGAGGGGAATGAAGTTGGATTTCAAGCGCCAATTGGCCCCAGAAGGATGTTTTTTTTTACAAAACAGAGAATGTAAAGTGGGAGTGGGAGTCGGCGCCTACCTGTGCATTTTGATGATGGGGATTGTGCGAAGGATGGAAGAACGGAAAGACAGATGTGTCAGAGAGAGTGGAAAAGAGAGCGAGACAGGTGAAAGAGAAGAGACTAAAGAATGAGACATGAAGTAGGAAGGGAATTGGTGGCGAAGGAAGGCACAGAAGAAATAAAAGAGAGGCAAGAAGAGAGAGGGGGGTTGTTGAAGGTTATTTATTGTTTTTTTCCCCTCGTTTTAATCCCATTTTGCGCTTGACTTTTAAGTCTACCAATGTATAGAAACAATGTCGGATGCACTGTCTAATCCCGTTTGGGCCATGAAGCTCACTCCACACTGACAGTAATGACTTTCATTTCCTATGCTGCTCGCACTGAAGCACCATGCCGACACTTCACAGAGCGGACGCCACTGTTCTGCCATGCTTGACAGGACAGCAATCCGTCTTTTAGCCAGTCTTAACCTGAACCCTGGCTCCCTCACTCATCCTTAATCCATCACTTTAACCCCATCTTCCTCCTTCTTGACTCCGGAGCGCAGAGGGCTCACTGACTGGTAAGGTGATTAACTTGCTCGTCCATTCAACAGATGCCAGATTTTTATCTCTTTCCCCCAGCTTCCTGTTCCTCCATTCGACGGGTGTCACACAACAGGGTGAGCACCATGGTAATATGCTCATATAAGATTCAATAATATCACAATCAAACATGCATCACGTCCACACAAATGCAGATAAATATGAAAATGTTTGTTACTGCCAAAGGGTAAAGATTCTCCAAAATATATCAATGTCATACTGTATGTCTCAGTTTAGACCACATATTTCAGTGCAGAGCACACAGAGGTCTTACCCTCAATGTTCTTTGTAATTTTGGGAGTTAAATAATCTGAAAGAGGTATCTACATTCAATGCTCAAAAAATATGTTTTTCAACTAAATAACTTTGACTGTTGGTTTTAAGTTAAACCTTGATTAAACAACAGAGATTTAGTATTCTTTGCCACAATTGGCCTTCAAACCGCGTCTAACCAGGAAGTTGGAAGATTACACTGTGAGGGAAACACAGCTGTGTGCCGGATCATCCTTTCTCTAGACTCAAGTGATGCGCACTGCATCTGAGATAGTTTGATGTGTGAATATCTCCTTTGAAAATAAAACTTCAGAAAACTTAAATGTATGATTACGTTTGGATATTTTCTTGATTTTAAAATGTTAGTGGTTGTAGACTAAACTCAAAGTATGTAAAGCCAATGTGAAGACACCTCTGGGCAGACATAGATGTAAATTAATTCAATAGCAACAAGGCCAAAAATGTGTCCCCGTCATAAACATACAGAGACAAGTCATTGAATGTGGTACAAAGAAAAAACAATAAAAAGATGCATTTTCAACTTTAACTGCATTTGTTTGGATGCTGCCACAGCCTACTGCAAATGATGTACATAATAACGGCAGACGCTGGGAGAGATAAATGGAAAGTGTGAAACGGAGAAACCAGGTATACAGACTGAGACAAAGGGCAAGTGATACAGACAAACCTCCCACTCTGTCTTTAGTGCAGGGTCTCCTGTCCCTCTTCTCAACCCACACTATCAACCCAGGGCGGCAAATTCATGCCACAAACACACACTGCTGTGCCTTCTCTTCAGTAAGGCTGCATAGCCTCGAACCCACTTGTTCTCACATCACACAGCTGCATATCCTTTTCATAGCTCTCGTTGCACATGAGTGACAGGGCTCAGGAAAAAAGAACAAAATCACTGCCATAAATATACCGTATCAACAAAGAGAGAGCGATACAAGCTAGCAGAGAGACAAAGACAGAAAACATGTTGGAAGACATCAGTGTGTGTGAGAAGTGTTGGCGATAAACAGGTTTATTTATGCAAGCAGCGTACAGCAGCCAAACACAGGCCTCCTCGGGTCTGACTCAGAATACTGAGCTATAAAAAGCTCCAGTGACATCCGGCTCACGCAAACACACGCGTGCAATGACTTTGTCAATCACACGCTGATGTACAGTCAATCCCAGATGCCTGTCAGGAGCGCTCAGAATAAAGCGCGCACTCACAGATTGTCACTTATGTAGATGTAGTAAAAGGCATAGAAAAGGAGATGGGAATGACCTCAAATCACCCGAAAAAACTTTTGATGGTATATCACTTTTGATCTGAGAATTCATGTCCTTAAAACAACCTCGTACATATCCTACAGGAATAAAATACTTCAAAACAAAAAGGGTTTTAAGGTTCCTCCGTACGTTTGCAGTTGTTCTACATTTCTGATTCAGTGCCATGAGGCAGTTTTTGTTTTTTTATCTCGTGTGCATTTAGAGTGTGCAATGATTTTTAAATAGGTCGTTGTGCACTCGTGTCAAAACTACTCTTTAGCCAATGAAACATTTAAATCTCTACCTGAAGCTAACACATGAAACAATCTAAATTACAGTACTGTAGACGTGAGCGCCAGCATGAAGTGGGAATATGGTGGAAACCTTGGCGAGCCACCCTGACTCCCCTTACTGTTGTCACACAACAGCACATGGTCTGATGTGGAGATAACCGAGGGGAAGCGGGGGCTTTGATCCTTAATGGGGCCATTTCGGCCGTGTGGAAATGACATTCATGGCTTGTATTTACACAAACTCAATTATGGAGGTTATTTTAGTGGTAGACAATCAATTAGAGTGAAACTATGTCAGAGCAGTAACACAGATTAAAGGAGAGGTTATAGCTGGAGCCTGTTTGGCTATAAATGAGCAAACACAAAACCCTTTTAGATCTACATAATCAGAAGCTCAAGTTAATGAAGACTTTGTTGGGTCACCTAACAGTATCTTACACATCCTGTTGTGGGGCTGCGTCCAAAATTATGTAAAAGTCAAAGTATGAATGAAAATCACAGTTCAACCCGTCTAAAGTGTTCATGTCTGTTTAAAAAGGGTTATACGTGAAGGTCTGGGACAGAGCCTTGAGGGGTGGGACATGTAGAAATGGGAATAATAGCAAACTGTGTCAAAGAGCCTCTGAAGGCGTTCACAGTGTTGAGTTTGTATGTATGTATTTTATAGCAGTAATTGTGCAAAGAGAAGAAGCAAAATCCAGCCAATTTTCTCACCTCCACACATGTTTAATCGCTACATAATACGAGCACGGTCGTAGGAGGATGAACCCCCCACTACTTCCTGTGGGAGGACCTTAGTATGCTTCAAACAAATTGCTGATTACATAATCGAAGAGCATCCGAATCCCTTCCCAAGATCAGGCGAAATGTTTCGAACTAAAACAGACAATCTGACAAGCCTGCCAGTTGCTACCTACCATTTAGACTAGTAATTCACAAAGTCTGGTACATAAATCTCTGGTAGTACGCAAGCTCCGGTTTGAGAAAATCTATGAAAAGATGCAACTAAGCAATCTTGTGTTTAATGGCTGTTGTTTCCAAACATCTCTACCTGCTTCTGTAAAAAGGAACATGCAAAATACACATATTTTAGAATCATAAAGGGGGGAAGTGGGATGCAGTTAGGGGCTATAATGGTAAGCTTTTTGCCCATCTTCGAGTGTGGACCTTGCGATTGATTGAAACACTTTTCTCAGTATTGAACATGATTGTTATCACACATACAGTGAATGCAAAATGACACACATACATGCTTGCATTGCTGTGTCGCAATCGTTTTGAATCCTTTCTGCACTTCTTCCAGAAACAACAGACTCCACAAAGGCTTTGTGCTGAAAGACTAAATTCCTGTTTCTCAGATGTCGGTCTGACAGTCCTCTCTCCTTTCGTCTCTCTTTTTTTTGTTTCTTCTCTGTCTCTGCCTGGGCAGCGGAATCAGCACATCAAATAAATACAGAGAGGGGTATAGTGTTTCGTTTGGAGATCACGGACAATGGGACACGTGGAAGTGCGTGAACTGCGGGTGCAAAACGAAAGCCATTCCAATGCAAATAAGAATAGAGGCCTCTTTGAAATAAAATCTGGTTTTGGAATTTAATAATGTCTCCGAATTGTTTTACAGAGAAACTGGATTCTATCAAAAATGATCAGTATTCAAGCCCAAACATTCCTCACCTACCAGAGTCCTAAAGAAACAATGGACTGGGGCTCATTATGAAGCCCATCCTTGGCCGACCAAATGTTATTATCATCATAAAACATTCAAACTGGAAACATTGGAGGACAGTTGGAGACATGGCGGGCCGTTTGGTGGACTCAATCGTCTGAGTCATTCAGCTTGGGTTTGAGTGGAGCCGTTGGTAAAACACAAAGTGGTGGTGGAGAAACACTGAGCCCAAGGACTGTAGCGCTTGGCCTGAGTTTCAAACAATCGACTCGCAGCGCTTTTTATCTGGACCGACCACAAACCCCCAACCACTCTTTACAGTTCAAACAGGGGCTTGAGCAAAAAGGCAATGCTAAATAGTGATGTGGGGGAAATGGGAATTGAAGGTCTTTGACTTTAGTGTTAAGTTACAGCGCTAATCTTAATAAACATGCATGTTGCGGTCATATAAAAACAAGGGTAACAGCTTGACTTCCACACATTTATGGACTAATTATGAGGTATTTGAAGATGAAAAACATGCTCAGAATAATAAAAAACAAGCATGACAACAAAAAATTGTGGAATGTTTTTTATTAAAAAGTATAAAACAATGTTGTTAACATAAATATGTAAATTCCAAACTGAAGTCTGACGATGTATAAATAGTTTACACTTCAATAAAACCATGACAGACAACAGCACAATAAATAAAAAGATGACGGGAACAGTGGCACGACAGATGTGTAAAATACTTTTAACCGTCAATAATGCTCACATCTGATTGGACGTCGTTTCCTTCATTTTCCGACGAGGGGTCAGGCTGTTCTCCCATGGTTACCTGCACAGAGGAGTTGGGTTTTACCAGTGAGAAACCATTAAGACGACATTATAATACATCAATATTAAAGTGTACCATCATGGAATTTAAACTCTCTCTGATGACATTGTCTTTGAGATTGTCGACCTCTCCATCACTTTCAGTTGTGAGCTAGCGTACAGTCAAATAACTGCTTATTTACTGTGATGTGCATGACTGACAGTCCTGAGAGATGCTCGCTGAGATGTGAGTGGCAGCTTCTTTTGACAAGCCCTCTTATCACTGCATATCTAAGATGCTTCTCAGAAAGACATAAATGGCTCTTACAGTTTGATGGATAGAAGCCAAATCAAAGCTCTCCGCACTGGAAGACTTCATCTAAAGCAACTGCACTGCATAACAAAGTAAATGACGTATGTTCATACTCAGAACCTTACACTGGTGTTAAAATAAGACACATGCATTGTACTGTACAGAAGCATAAACTTCCACATGAACTATCTACAGTGCGCACACGTTTCTATACAATATAAACAATCCTGCTCACCTCCTGCTGCGACAGGCATCCAGGTCTTCCTGTAGCAGAGAGGCTCTCTTCTGAAGGAAGTTCACCTGCAACACGGACACACAATGCAAAGTCTTTTTAAAAATATACTCTGATTAGTTGTTTCATCAGAATAAGGGAAGTGCATCAGAACACAGAAACTGGAAGTGGAGAAGGTATGATGGCTTTGGGTCAATTGTGCTTTTGGTCGGAGGGGGTTAGCTAAGTGGAAGAAAGACTTGGTTGTTGAGTCCAGGGGTCAGGACAGCAGGGGTTGGGGGTCAGGAGATTAGGGCAGAGGGGTTAAGGCACAAGGGGACAGAGGGGAGATTATGAGCCAGGATAGTGGAGGTTAGGACGCTGCGGGAGGAGGCGGCACCATTCTTTTGTTTGGCTACAAAGTGTGAGTTTATTTATGAAGTGTCTTTGGCCCAAGAGAAAATAAACCCCATCTACATTTACACGGCATGTAGAGCCTGGCAGAATAATCACGGCTCCGAAAGAATCTGTATTGTTCTGGGACTACCGTACTGGAGCAGAGGGTACATTCCTTTCTGTGGGGGAGACCTCAGCAAAGTTCTAGCGTTTTATTTGCCCCTTCACTGTGGTGGAAAAAAAAACCCGAAAATGTGGTCGGATGCCTCTAGAGACATGAAAACCCTAACTGCCTTTTTTTTTTTTTAACCATGTACAAATAATGCACTTTAATTTGCAAAGCCAAAGATGTCGGCAATGAGAGGAAAGAGAACTCTGGGCATGAGTTACATCTTATGAATATATCCGATCACAGAGCTGTGGTCTGCACGCTGACATGGGATCAGGGGAGTCCTATTTGAACAAGGCAGGGGTTTGTGGAGTGACTGTTTTACAAAAACTTGTTCTGCATGTTTCAATCACCATTACAGAAATCCCTCTGTTGTTTGCAATGGAAAAACTGAGAACAGTGAAAGCCCTTTATTGATATTCGGTGTCAAAATGGGCCCGATGATATAAGTGTGAGACACGGCTCAGAGGAACAACATGGATGTGGTTTTGCAAGTGGTGAGATGATGGAGAGACAAGGACAAATGTGGGTTTAAGAGGATTGGCAACATCCAAAAACTAAACAAATAACTCACAAGTATACAGGATGTGCGGGTTATGTTTCCGATAGTATTGAATGGTTATTAAAAAGGCTAGGTGAAATTCCAAAAGAACTGATGAGACCTAACTGTACTTTGACAACCTGTCCAATTTACAATATAGTGTTTCAAAAGGGTTGGATTACTGAAATTGTTAAAGGCTGGAATATGTTATAGGTTGAAAATTAGATCCTGAACCCCCAAGATTTCTTTTTTTAACAATCCTGAATGTAAAGCCTGAATGGTTGTCATGGGCACGCCTGTATCTGATCTGTTTGTGGCAGCTCTCACCTGAGCCTTCAGAGAGCTGATGGTGTCTTCTAGCTCCTTTCTGAGCTCTGACGGCATCAAACCCTTGATCTTCTTCTCGTACTCCTGACGCACCACAGTCACCTGAGGAGACAGAGGACAGGCACACACACAGTCAACTTGAATTCACCTAAACAATAAATAGTTAAAAACACATTTGTACACAACATAGATATCCACACACATACAAGCAAAGACTTTCACCTGTAATTGTATTTGGTTTAAAACCAACTTGAGATAATCAAAAACAATGAAAAACAATACAGTAACATTTTGCTGAACAAGTGCTTCTGCTACTTATTCAAATCCACATTTGCATGTCATGCATGTATTTCCAGATAGCGCCCAAAGTGAACAGTATGCTTGGAGGACACACACACACACACACACACACACACACACACACACACACACACACACACACACACACACACACACACACACACACACACACACACACACACACACACACACACACACACACACGGTATCCCCTCTTCATTCATGGCTCAGAGTATTCCCTCGCTCTTCACAGCTCCTTCACATCTCCACAGGGGGTCTGCAGGCCAGCATGACTCGCTCTGCACAACCCCCCCTACTGGCTGCTGGAGACTACAGCCAGAAGTGACACAATGCATTTTATGGGCCTGACACAGCTGGGTTTGGAAGAGGACAGGGCCGTGGTGGAGGGCAGAACACATCAAACGCAGCAGCAGCAGCGCAACGGCTAGCTAGCTAGCTCCACTGGGGAGGACTGGAGGAAGTCTGTCTGGGGCTAAATTACACTCCACTAAACCAGAGTCTGATTATAGAAGTTGAAAAGGGTTTGGTTAGCTCAACCCCCCCTTTAACCCGCAAACACACATGAATGTACACACACACATTCACAAACACAGGGCTTTTACAGTACTGTAAAAGCATTTACAGCGTTTTGAAAAGAGTTGCCGGTCAATTAATTCAGAGCTTGATGAATAGTTTAGCAGAGCTGGAGGAATCAGCGGGGGCTGTGAAAAGCAACAGTTTTCGCCCACATATTTCAAGGTGTAACCAGGGGAGAGTCTGAGCATTTCAACCCACCATAATGTCTTTGACAGAGCCAACGTCCAGCAAACATCAAGAATATCCCCCCTCTCCTCTCATCAGTCCGGCCTTTCATGTGAAGAGAGCGTGAACGAGGTGAGGGGGAGGGAAAAAGATTGGTTTTCCTAAAATAATTTTCCTGTTGTGGATTTAACTGATTGTTCTGGCTTTGGCTAATTAATCTTCCTGGGCACAATGAAAGGGATTGGGAAGCACTTCAAAGCAGCCCCCAGTATAAATGATCCCAACATGAAGCCGCTCACTTTGTCTCGGCACAGTGAGCAGTAGATTAGACTGCCACAACTTTGCCAGTTTCTTTCAGGCTCCTTCTGCCCCATTCATTTTAAGTTTACAGAAATATGTGTTTTTCTCTCTGTGTGAGAATGGAGTCATGGATAATTTGAGAGCGATCTTTTCAAACAAGTGGCAAAAAGAAAATGGGTTTCAGAAGCTTTAATTTTGGGTAGTTTAAAAAATCTGCTGAAGCTACGGGAGTGCAGATTTTCAAAAAAAGTCTATCTATGTATAGCAGCTTCTGTAGTCATAACAAAATGGCGAGCCAAGACAAAACACACTCCACTACCTCAGACCAAAGCAATAAACAATGGTTGAATAAACACATCCCTTACCAACCACTCTGAATATAAGTCTAGATTCTTCAAAAGCCACGCTCCTTAGGTTTGCATTCTTGGTTCATGTATGGTGCCGTCGCCACAGCAATGAGAGATCCGCTCTGCCTAAATTACAAGCTCCTTTGTGGCAATGCTGTCTCCATTTTCATTCCCATACATTAGAATGGGCAAGGCTACGACAGCGTATTCACTGGGACTCACAGGGATCAACGGGGACAGGACAACTGTACGTAGAGTCGCAGGGATGGATCAGAAAGTATTATGGGATACAGTAGGGTTGTGTATCTGGAATTCGTCCTAATGACTTTGTGGTCAATTGCAATTACAGCTGCTGACGGTGGAAGACAGGGAAAAACATTATAAAAAAACACAGAACATTAAAGGTCCCTTATTATACTGTTTTTCATCAATATATGATAGGTCTCAGATATATACAAACATGTCTCTGAAGTGTTTGGCTCCAAACACCAAACAGATCATTGCAGCATCCCATAATCCCCTCTGTTTCAGCCCTGTTTCAAAAGTGCTGATGCTCTATCTGTTACTTTAGATGAAAATAAGGAGCCCCTCCCCACGCCCCTCTGAGAGATATTTGGTTAGAAAGAACACAATGGTGCTCTAGGAGGAGATTCAGGTAATAAGGTTACCTTGGTTGGTGATTGGCTAATGGTTACACAAGCCAAAAAATCGTTATGACATCATAAAGTGGCCAAAATCTGATCAGCTCATTTTCAGACAGGTTTCTATATAAATGGATCAGGACAAAAAGAGAGCGAATCTGTATTCCTGAAACTTTCAGAATCTCTTTACACAGAGGGGACACATGTTTGTGTATAAGAGACATGAACAAGTGGGTTTTGCATAATAGGTGACCTTTAATTTCTAAAGTGGTATTCTTCCCATCATTAGATAAACATTCCCTTTGTATTGTTGCATTATAAATACATTACTTTCTGCATGTACATGCAGTACATCTACTTGAAGGCGTAAGACACAGGTTTCTGCTGCAGGGTAGCAAACCCAAGCACTAGCAATCACATTTTTCCACAGCATGTCTAACTAAAGCTTAGTTTACTATGCAATGTGTGTGGGTGGAGGCAGCATCCGTTTTTTCCAACAATATCTCTGTTAAAGAAACGTATGCTCAGCTAAAAGATACAGAAACATTTCTGACTTCGCCGTGTCTCTGAATGGTTTTAAATTCAAAATAGGAACTCAAACTTCCCAAAGACGTCTGACTTGTTCCTTCAGCTTTGAGTCTTCTCGCTTCTTTCAGGGTCCTTCCTCTCACATCTCTGTTTTACTTTATGCAAACACAATTTTTCTCTTCTTTAAAAATCTTTTACAGCAAAGGCGTGTTTGTTTTTCTGACAGGTGGCAGGAGGCATGTGATGAAAAAAAAGCCTCCTTACCATTAGCACAGATGTCGAGTTCCTTTGAACAAAATGTTGATCAAACCTTCTGAAGGGGTTTGGTCATTGACGGACTCTAGATGAGAGTGAGCATAAAAAGAAAAGAGGAATGGAAAGGCGGGAAAAAGAAGTGTGCCACTATATCCCAAAGCAATGAAAAGGGACTTTGACTTTCAGGAGAAAAATCCGGCTTCATCTCCAGCGCTCTTGTTTAAATGAGATTTTGTTTGTTCCTGATGAAGCGGGATTCTCTAGTTTTGAAGACTGCGAGGAGCGGCAGTCGTTTTCCCCTCCCAGTCATCTTAAAATGACAACATTTCATCTATATATAGTCTTTAGATTGTGGTTTTGACTTTCCCTTGCGTTTGGTACTGTCACATGGCGTGGTTTTTGACAGCTGCCAGCTGAAAGGAACAAGCCCTCAACACTTTCAACGTTCAAATGAAGTTGAAGCTTGATGTATGCTAATGAAGTTGGGGTGTGCGTGTGTGGGACAGGTTGG